TGCTGAGCAGAGAGCCCGACGCGGGGCTTGATCCCAGGACCCTGGGATCATGACCTGAGCCAAAGGCAGAGGCTTTAACCCACTGAGCCACCCAGGTGCCCCCCACCTTATACTTTTTTATTTAAACTTTTTCTTTAAATTCCAGTTTGTTAACATACATTGTAATATTAGTTTCAGGTAATTTAATGATGCAGCAGTTCCATACAATGCCTGGTTCTCATCATAGCAGGTGTCCTCCTTCATCCCCATCACTGTGTCACCCAGCCCCCTGCCCCTCTCCCCTCTGGTCACCGTCAGTTTGTTGTCTGCAATTAAGAGTCTGTGTCTCAGTTTCAGGCTCTACCACCTGTGAGAAGTACCATGCCAGTTCTTTAGTTCACTCAAACTAAACTCCGTAGAGAATTTTAGAGCTGAAGGATAAACTGAGGTTTATGTAGGGAACAGTGCCTCAGGGGGCTTGCATGTAAAGTGTTTTAGACTTCTGGCTGAAAATTAATGAAAAGACAAATGGTGGGATTGAATGTCCTCTTTGCCTGTGCTGATGTTGGGCTGGGAGAGAAGGGAAGTGTCTGGGTTTGCTCCAGGCTAGGAGGTAGGAAGGAGCACTAGTCACATCCTGGGGTGGGATCCATCTTCCAGCACTGCTGTTTAGATAACTTGACTGTTGCCAGCTGGAAAGGAAGTGCAGGAGGACTTCTGACTCTTTTTGAGTTCATAATGTTCCCCTTTGAATTCTCCTTGGCACTTCAGGTCTGTGGGGATGCGTTTGGGATAATAAAGCAGGAAGCAAGTGTGGGATGGTATCTTGCTCCTCAGAAGTCCAGCCATGGGGACCATCAGAAGAAGTAGATGCACCAGCTTGTGCATCCAGAAACTTTCTCTGGTCATAGCAGAGATGCCTGGCTTTCCCCAACTTCAGCCTTTGACTATTCACCCTGTTTAATTTTGATGAGGAAGACGGTTAAGGCAGTTCTGGAGTGTTATATTCTGTACCAATTCATTTTAGTCACTGTTTGATATTATTTAGATGTTGATATATTTGAAATCTTTCTGTAAAAAGAATTTTTTTATATAACTTCCTGAATTGTTTCTATTAGAACATGGTACATAATTTTAAGTAATGCGAACTTGTGTAATAGGCCTTTAACTTCTTTAAATATTTTTATAAACTTTTATGATGTGAGTTTTTAGTATATCCAAAATAGGAAATCTTTATTTTAAAAAATTAATGATCTTTAAAATACTGAATTTTGGGGCGCCTGGGTGGCTCAGTGGGTTAAGCCTCTGCCTTCGGCTCAGGTCATGGTCTCAGGGTCCTGGGATCGAGCCCCATGTCGGGCTCTCTGCGCAGCAGGGTGCCTGCTTCCCTTCCTCTCTCTCTCTGCCTGCCTCTCTGCCTACTGTGATCTCTGTCTGTCAAATAACTAAATAAAATCTTAAAAAAAAAATACTGAATTTTATTTTATTTGTTTGAAGATTTTATTTATTAAAGTGCATGAGCAGGTAGGAGGAGGGCAGAGGGAGAGGGAGAAGGAGACTCTGCTGAGCAGGGAGCCCCATGTGGGGCTCTATCCCAGGAGACCTCAGGATCATGACCTGAGCTGAAGGCAGACTCTTAACCTACTGAGCCATCAGGGTGCCCCTAAAATAATGAATTTTAGATAACAAAGAGGTGAAATGCTGAGAGAGCAGAGGAAAACTTTAATCACCCAATCACAGTAAAAATATTCAACAGGATCAGTGGTTCTAACAGGCAGACTTCTTTGGAGAGCCCTAACTATTCCCAGGGCAGACCTAGTTTCCAGTTTCCCTGTATGCCCTTCTCCATGTACAAGGCCTCCCTTCCAAGAGATTGCTTATAATTTCTTAGGTCTTCCTTACGGTCCTGAAGTTGGGTTGTTTTGTAGTTAGTTTGTAATTAGCTCTGGATAGTTGTCATTTTTTAATGCTTCTAGTACTGGGAACTGGCCATGACCTTCACCACTGGTTTTATTCATTTGGTAAATGTTCTTATTTTAAAAATTATTTTATTTTGTGTTTTTGGAGGATCATTCAGGTCAGAGCTACTTTTGATAAATCTTCCTAGAAATATTTTCTATTGATTTTCAAATTTTTAAAAATTTTTATTTGTTTAGGAAGGGGAACCTTCTGGAAAGAGAAAAGCAGAAGATGATGATAAAGCGAGTAAAAAGCATAAAAAGTATGTGATCAGTGATGAAGAGGAAGAAGATGATGATTGAAGCACAATGTGAAAACATTTTATGTATTTTTGTACAGTTTATTAAATATAATGTAAACATGAGTTATTTTGATTGAAATGAATTGATTTGCTTTTGTGTAATTTTAATTGTAATAAAAAGTTTTTTAAAGCAAGTCTCTGTTCAGGAAATCTACTTTATCTAAAGCAAGTTGATTTTGTTTAAACTTCAGAGGAAGTCTTAAGTTTTAGTGAATTCCTGCTGCTCTCCCCCGCCCCTACCCCCCACAAAGAAGCCTCCTAGTCAGGGTCAGGTGAGGCAAGTGAGGCATTCCTCTGGAGTGCAGAGTTTAAGGGCCCAAAAAGAGCTTCTTGTGCTTGTTTCAGTTTGTTAGGGCTGCTATAACACAGTACCACAAACTGGGAGCTTAAAACCACAGAAATGTATTCTCTTACAGTTCTGGAGCCTAGAAATCCTAAATCAAAGTATTGGCCTAGCCACTCTCCCTCTGAAAGCTCTAGGGAAGAATCTGCCTTGCTGTGTGTTCTGGCTTCTGGGGCCTCCTGGCAGTCCTTGGCTTTTGGCAGCAGAACTCTGTTCTTTCCTTGGTCTTTACGTGGGTTATTTCCCTTTGTTTGCTCTGTGTCTCTGTATGTCTTCCTCTCCTTATGTGTCTCCTCTCCTCTGTGTCTCTGCAGGTCTTCCTCTCCTTATATTAGGACACCAAGCAGTGTGTTTAGGACCAGTCCTATTCAGTAGACTTAATTATATCTGGAAAGACCCTACCGCTAAGTAAAGTCACATTCTGAAGTTCTGGATAGATATGAACCTTGTGTGGGAGGGTCCCTATTCAGCCCATTATAGTAATCAAGATAAATGATACCATGATATATGATGTTAAAAAAAATGGAACTAATGCGAAAATCCATAATGATTAAAATGTCAGAATTTTATGTAAACAGGACCTGATGGCTGAAATTAGGGTAAAACAAGTGAGGAGAATTGTGCAAGTACAGAGCTGGATGGATCCGTGCTTTTCTTAAAAATTTGATAATGTATTCATGGGTCTTTCACAAGAAGCTTTAAAAAGCATTGTATTGGGGCTCCTTGGTGGCTCAGTCAGTTAAGGAGCCGACTGGATTTCAGCTCAGCTTATGATCACAGGGTGGTGAGATCGAGCCCTGTGTCAGGCTGTGTGCTCAGCAGGGAGCCAGAGCCTGCTTGGAATTCTCTGCCTCTTCTGCCCCTCCCCTGCTTGTGTGCATACTCACGCTCTCTAAAATAAGTAAATGTATTTTTAAAATAAATAAATAAAAAACATTGTATTGCAGTGTGGTCATCTAGGTCACTGAGATTTTGGCACCCTTTGTATTTTTCACTCAAGGTAAGTGTCTCACTTTCGCATCTCAGTCCTGGCCCTACTTTCTCACAGCATAATGGCTGGGATCCAACACTGAGCATTCTAAGAGAAGGAGCCAGATAAACGATGTATTACCTTTCACATCCAAATCCAACACCTTCTGTTGATTAAAGTGAGTCACTCATGTGTACCTATATTCAAAGGGAAGGAAATTTGACTCCTCTTGATGGTTGGAATGGCAAAGAATTTGCAGGTATGTGTTCCTTTTTTTATCTTTTTAAAGGGTTTATTTATTTTGGGGGGTGGGGTCATGTGCTCACAAGTTAGGGGAGGAGCCGAGGGAGAGAGACTCAAGCAGCCTCCCTGCTCAATGTGGAGCCTGACTCAGGTCTTGATCTCATGACCCTGAGATCATGACTTGAGCCGGAACAGACCCGGAACTGACTGAGCCACCCATGCGCCCGTGTAGGTATGTTTTAAATTTACTACACACATATTTGTCTTTTCTGTGATTTTCTTCTACATAGACTAATTAATCTTCCCCTTATGAATGGATTCTACCCAACTTCCTTTCTAGTGCTGTTGGTACAGTCTGGGAGTGCTGGTTGTGGGAGGCTTACCTGAAACCTGACTACAGAGAAGGAAAAGTGACATCGAAAAAGAAGGTCCTGGGGCGCCTGGGTGGCTCAGTGGGTTAAGCCGCTGCCTTCGGCTCAGGTCATGATCTCAGGGTCCTGGGATCGAGTCCCGCATCAGGCTCTCTGCTCAGCAGGGAGCCTGCTTCCCTCTCTCTCTCTCTCTCTCTGCCTGCCTCTCTGTCTACTTGTGATCTCTGTCAAATAAATAAATAAAATCTTAAAAAAAAAAAAAGAAAAAGAAGGTCCTAAATCACCAAGGTGCCACTTTGCTTTTTTTTTTTTTTCCTCATGTGCCACTTCCCTAACACCAAAACCTTCAGTCTCTTGCTGTTTCTTGGTTTAACAAATTGTTAAAACTATGCCTGGCTTTTTTTTTTTTTTTTAATATTTTATTTATTTATTTGACAGAGAGAGATCACAAGTAGAGAGGCAGGCAGAGAGACAGAGAGAGGGAAGGAGGCACCCTGCTGAGCAGAGAGCCCAATGCGGGACTCGATCCCAGGACCCTGAGATCATGACCTGAGCCGAAGGCAGAGACTTAACCCACTGAGCCACCCAGGCGCCCCTATGCCTGGCTTTTAAGAGCCTTCATTCTGCCTGTCCTTTTTAAGGCAATATACTTTGTTTTTTGTTTTTTTAACTAGTAGAACGTGTATTCGTTATTAAGCTCTTGTCTTTTCATCTCCAAACCCACCCTTTTTTACCAAGTTTGGTGGTGCTGGGGCCAAGATTCTGCAAGCACATCTCATCTTTGCCAGCTGCCCCCTGTTAGGGGGCGCTGGAGGGAGACTGGAAGACTGAATAACAAAGAAGAGATTGCTCCTTCCTGTTTATTTATGGAACTTTCTGGAAGCTTCCTGTCAACTTGCAGTTTTTCTAAGGGGGCCCACAAACACCTTCACCTCAGCAGAGGCAGTACCTTCCCACAGCAGCTCATCCAGTTTGCAGCTTTACCAGCACTTGGAGAGCCAGCTTCATTGTATCTCCCCGCCCTGCCCCGCCCAAGGCATCAGTGCCAGCTGGACACTTCGCTTCCTCAGGTATGAGTTTCAGCTCCATACTGTTAAGTTTTTACGTTTAATAATTCCACCTCTTCCTTTGTTCCCTCATTTCTAGAGGTGGAAACCTAAGTAAAAAAATATTTTTAAAATTTTAGTTCTATCTGTATAGACTGCTGGTGTGTTTTCTGTTCCCCAACTTGGACCTGACTGGGTAGTCCAGGAGAGAAATCCTCAAAGATGTGATTTGTAGATGAGTTTGTGTTTGAATGCAGGTCTGAGCTCCTCGCCAATGAAACGGGATGCTGGTAACGCCTGATTGGTGGCATGGTGCATCCGATCACCCCTCTGGTTGAGGGCTCAAGTGGCTGTTAGACTTGTTGGGCATAGTGACGATACTGCGGACTGTGGTGAGGGGTGGATACTTCGGAGTGCCCTGGAGCACTTATGGAAGAATATTATAAGCTTAGGTCTTTAAACATTCAGTTCAGGTTAGGGCCAGAGAACCAGTGAGCTTTCCTCACAGCCTTAAACGAATCTCCTGTCTCCGAGGCAGAGGGCTGAGGTAGCTGAATATTAAACACTCACTTGGGCGGTTGCAGAATTGCAACATTAGTTGAATTCATAACCTCTCGAAGTCTCTCATGTGAAATGACATTGCTAGAGAAAGAAGCTAAGGGTGGGATGTCTCTTTGGACTCCGATGAAACAGGAAAACTCAATTTGCTAGTCACTCTGTGCCTGTGAGAAGCAGTTTGCTTCCCTGTGTCTGAGGAACCTGGTCTTTCCTTTCTTGAAAACACGGTAATAATGTTAGCTGTGGCAGTTTCCATTCTCCTCAAGACTCAGCCAACTGCATGCTGTTTGCCCCACTTGCTACCAGTCAACCCATCACTAGGATCTCATCCTACTCTGACAAAGCACGAACTCCTAGCTGAAGAAGAAATGTTTATATGCCAGAAGAACTACAAGGTTTTGCTGATAAAGGGAAAAGCCGAAGGGAATACTGTGGAACTATGTTCTAGGAATGTGAGATGAAGGACAGACTATAACAATAGCTTTGGCCAAATGGACTGGTTTGGGGCACTTACATATTCAGGATCTGATGTGTTAACACATACAGCAGGACATGGCTCCAGAGCTGTTAGCTACAACCTACTGGTGGCCTACTTGTAATGAAGCTTCCCTGGCATTATGTGGAGGGAATCCAAAGGCTTAGGGAGATAAAACTGTTGGATTAAACATACCTTGTGTGACCTGCATACCACCCCTCACCTCTAGCTACTCAGCTTCTACCCTGGGAAGGCCAAATGAAAATAACATCTAATATTCCATAATTTCTGAGGGTCATGACTGGTTTAGCAGGGTAGCTGTGGCTCATGGTCTTTGATGAAGCTCCAGTCAAGATGTTGGCTGAGAATCCTTTATCTACAGGCTTGCCTGGGACAGAATGATCTGTTTCTAAGATGGCTCACTCATGTTCTTGGCAGGCGGCCTCAGTTAGTTGCCCCATGAGCCTCTCCTTAGCAGTTTGAGTGTCTTCACGTCATGGCAGCTGGCTTCTCCAGAGCAGTGAGCTAAGGAGAGAAAGAAGGAGGTGGAAAAGCCACAATGTCATGGCCTCGCCTTAAAAGTGAGGTAGTATTCTATTGATCACATAGATCAACTGTGACACATGTTGGAGGAGACTGCAAGGGCAGGACTCTCAGAGGCAGGAACCACTGGGAACTGTGTTGAAAGCTGCCTATCACAGCAGCTATGCCTTCCGCCAACCAAATTGGCCACCTTCCTTGTCTCCATAGATACTTGTCAGGCTTCTGGGGGCAAGGCTCAGAGAGCAAATTCAAGGTTGGCTTTGTGGAGATTTGGTTTCTGAATCTTTGGACAGTGTTGAAGTGACGGGCTAAAAACCCTATGAAGAACCTCAGAGAAATTAATACTGTGTGTTTTTCTCCCGGCATTGAAGGTCACAGTAGGACCATGGATCTGTTTGGAGACATAGATGACATTTCTTCAGAGAGCGATGGGGACAGTGAACAATCGATTCCAGGGCAGCCTGCTGTGAGTATAATCACTAACCTCAACAGGTCCCATTGCTCAAAGTAAAAAGAAAGCTTCAAAAGCTGAAGTGTCTGGTTTCTATGGAGAAAGGATATTGATAATTGAGTAGTGGTCTGAAACACCTGAGGAATGGGTGACTTTCTCAGTTATGTTGGGAATTGTGGATATTTGCAGGTACAGAAAGAATTGCTCAGAATGGGGGCGCCTGGGTGGCTCAGAGGGTTAAAGCCTCTGCCTTCGGCTCAGGTCATGATCCCGGGGTCCTGGGATCGAGCCCCGCATCAGGCTCTCTCCTTGGTGGGGAGCCTGCTTCCTCCTCTCTCTCTCTCTGTCTGCCTCTCTGCCTACTTGTGATCCCTCTCTGTCGAATGAATAAATAAAATCTTAAAAAAGAATTGCTCAGAATGAGGTTGATGCCAAACTTTGGGGCTAAACTGTGAAGACTCATAATTTGAAAACCTTTAAGTTTTTCTTTTCTTTTCTTTATTTCTTTATTTCTTTATTTTTAAAGATTTTATTTATTTATTTGAGAGAGATAGATGGAGATAGTGAGAGCATGAGCAGGGAGGAGAGGAAGAAGCAGACTCCCTGCTGAGCAGGGAGCCTGATGCGGGCTCGATCCCAGGACCTTGGGATCACAACCTGAGCTGAAGGCAGACACTTAACGACTGAGCCACCCAGGGTGCCCCTTGATTTAAGTTTTCCTTTTCTTTTCTTCCTTCCTTCCTTCCTTTCTTTTTCTTTTTTTTTTTTTTTTTAAGATTTTAAAGATTTTATTTATTTGTCAGAGACCTAGAGGGAGAGAGAGAGAAAACAAGCAGGGGGAGGGGCATGCAGAAGAAGCAGGCTCCCTGCTGAGCAAGGATCCTGGGATCATGACCTGAGCCTAAGGAAGACGCTTAACGAAATGAGCCACCCAGGCATCTCTGATTTAAGTTTTTCCTAACACAAACCTGTGCCAGAAGTCATGTGCTATTTAACTTTCTTCTCTGATTTTAAAGTTACTTCGTACTGGGGGATTGTACATCTTCACAGTTCTGTCATTTAATGTCTTATGCAAACCAGATATGTCGACAAAATTGATATTTTTTCTAGTAATGCAGGCTAACAGATATTGTTTCCCATGGTGATATTTTTGGGGGAGAGGATGAAATCTTAGGGAGAGGCCTGGAGGGGTTGCTAACGCTTTTGTTTCTGAAGTGGTATCTGAATTTATTTTCAGTCACATCTGTATCTCCTAGTACTCTAGAAGAGCTAGAGCATTTTCAGTTTCACTTCAAGCTCTCACATCCTGATTCCTCTCTTAGGATGAACGTGGAGTGCCTCAGGACCAACAGGAGGAAGAGCGGATTTCTGAAACCAGAATAGAAGTAGAAATCCCCAATATCAACTCTGATTTAGGAAATGAATTGTACTTTGTTAAACTACCTAAATTTCTCAGCATAGAACCCAAGTAAGAGGACTGATTAAAGTTTTTTTTCCAAGATATTAATTTAAAATATGTGCGATGTAAATGTTTTTTCTTATCAGAAGTTGGGTAGTTATAAAGATGGGAGATTCCTCATATACCTCTGGAAAAGTAAATTTAGGATGTGCTGTGGTAAAAAATGATGAGTTACTGCTGTGAGATTTTATTTTATTTTATTTTTAAAGCTTTTATTTTATTAAGATTTTATTTATTTATTTGTCAGAGAGTGAGCGAGCACAAGCAGGGGGAGCAGCAGGCAAAAGGAGAAGCAGGCTCCCTGCTGAGCAGGGACCCTGATGCAGGTCTCCATCCCAGGACTCTGGGAACATGACCTGAGCTGAAGGCAGATGCTTAACCGACTGACCCCCACCCAGGTGTCCCTAAAGATTTTATTTATTTATTAGAGAGTGCACCAGAGAGGGGAGGGTCAGAGGGAGAAGCAGACTCCCTGATGAGTGGGGAGCCTGATTCGGTATTTAATCCTGGGACCTCGGGATTAGTACCTGAGCTGAAAGCAGATGCCTGACCAACTGACTCAGACACCCAGGTGTCCCTCATGTGAGAATTCTAATGTGAATGATTCTTCTAGCATTTGGCACTTACAAATAAACCAACATGACAGCTAACAAAGGTGTTTTTCACTAGTGTAAAGCTGAAAAATCAGAAAATGAGGTGGAGAAAGTTTGCTAGAGAAATCATAAATGTTCAGTGCAAAAGTCACTATGACTAGAAGAGACAATGATTTTGGACAACAAAATAGTATTGATGGGTATTTTTTGTGAAGGTTCATGTGTATAAGCTCTTGAGTAATTAGCAGGATACTTTAAAAAAAAAAAAGTAGAAAGAGAAGACCATGTCTTATTTATATTTTAGAAGACCTATTTCCTCAAACAAGGCTTGGAATTGTTAGTCACACTTGGATTTTATTTCCGATATTTTAAAATCAGATTTCAAGAAAGTACACTAATTTGCATACTTTCTTGAAATATTACGTGAAGTTGTCTCTGTGACTTTTAACATATTGGTGCATGTTGTAAAGATGATTATTTTATAAGCATTAATAATATTCATTACAAAAATGGCTAACATGAGATTAAAAAATGGTTTTTAGACCTTTCGATCCTCAGTATTACGAAGATGAATTTGAAGGTGAGAAAGTGCTTGACGAGGAAGATAGAACCAGGTTAAGATTAAAGGTACTATTCTATATTTGATTCCTTTTTCTTTTTCTTTTCAAGTTTTTTGTTAAGTAAAACAGAGGTAATTATTTGAGACGAGATTATGAAATGATCTTTTATGTTTACTCTTTAGAACAAGGACTGAAATGTCTTTTGAGAATATTTTTAGGGGAGAAGTTACATACCCTTTTTTAAAAATCCCTGTAATTCTCACTTTTCTAAACTTTTTCTCCCAGTTATAATTTTTCAATGGAAGTAATGATAAAAATTCTTGAAAATTGTTAGCTACTTCCTTTAGGATAAGTATTTTTAGGTATATGAACTGCCTCTGCATTATATAGTGGGTAGGTCCTTGTAGCTTCCTCAGTAGCATTCTCGGGCTCTCTATGGGATTCCAACTACGCACAAAGAGAGGCCTTGTCTGCAGGCGGTTCCTCTCAAGAAGACCTGGGATGGCAGGACACTGTGGTGTTTTCACAGGGCTCTTGTCTTCTTGCTTCAGGTGGAGATGAGCTTCTGTGGGGGCAGAACCAATTTTTATGCTACCTTTGTGATTTGGAGTTGCCTCCTATATGGGTAGGACACATTTGAACTAAAAAACAGGGCAAAGTGGAAGTCTCAAGTTGAAATTGTTGATTTCTTAACTTTATATTCTTTTATCTTTTAATTTTTCATTTAATGCCCAGGACTTCCCTGTCTTACTAGGTCAGGCTTACTAGTCCCTCTTTTGTTGGGTTCACAGCCCTTCAGGTGTACTTGCGGTAGGCACAGGTCTCCATTTTAACTGTCTATCCCATGTGGACCCAAAGCCTCACCCTTGCATCTTTGGAGCTCCTGGTGTGTGTGGTAATCCCTCCATCCTGTGTTATACTTGGATTCTGCTTCCACTGCCATGAGCTTGCAAAAGATTTAAACAAAATAGTTTAACCAGTATCTCTCGGTATTTGTAGCGGGAGGGTTTCAGCATTGCCTAATGCACTAGTTCTCTTGTGAGCTTCCTTAGCACTACATACCAACTCTTGGCACATGATTGTAAGTCACTGGAGGGAAAAAGAACACGCAGTTGTTACCTTGGTTTTCTAATGCCTTTGTGTTTTGAACCAGGTAGAAAATACGATAAGATGGAGGAAACGCCGGGACGAGGAAGGAAATGAAATTAAGGAAAGCAACGCTCGGGTGGTCAAGTGGTCAGATGGGAGGTGAGCCCATGATGCCCGGAGGGCCCTGGAAGACCCAGAGGGATGCCTGGGAAGAACGGGGTTCTCTGTGCAGGACCTTACTTTGGGGCCATCTTCCATGAAAGAATTAAACAAATCTAGGCCTCGGAGATGACACCTTAGAAGTGGGCCCAGGGTGTGATCAGATTCATGGTAGCAGCCTTCTGGGGGGAAAGCTAATGCTAGCTCGCTTACAGGAGCTACTATTGGGCAGTACACACTGGTATTTTGGGAACAAAGTGTTTCTGTCTTATGAAGTGGTAGAGATTGGGAAAATGACGAAACAATTATATTTCAAGTTGAAGGATGAATTTTACCACCTCTGGCTTTAAAAGGGAATACGTTATTTACAGTACCTCTGTTTTTCTCATGAATTCAGGACACGGTTCCACAGCATTTTAAGTAAAGCCTATAGGGGAGAATGGAAACTGTGGGCTTTGTCGAATGTCCACCCCAGTCTGAACGGTTTCTCGTTTGCAGCCTCTCCCTGCATCTAGGCAGTGAAGTGTTTGATGTCTACAAAGCCCCAGTGCAGGGCAACCACAACCACCTGTTCGTTCGAGAAGACACTGGTCTACGGGGACAAGCTGTGTTTAAATCCAAGCTCACCTTTAGGTAACTGTTCATGCTGACCAGTTGTTACTGGTAGTTAACGAGCAGCAAGGCGGAGAGTCGTGCAGAAAGCCTGACTCAGCTCTGACAGACATGATTTCAAGGTGCAGCTCACCAGGCGCGTCGTTTGGGTCACCTCTACCACAGATCGCTGTTTCTCAGGGAGCCAGTCCACGCTGTCAAAACCAACCCAAGACCCCCGTATAAACCAAAAGACCAGTGAATGAATTCACATTGCTCAGTGCACCTGATAGGAGGCCTAGGAGACTGGTCTTCGGTGCTCAGCTGGCCCATGTCCTTTGCCTTCCGTGGAATTTAGCTGGGAGGCTGGCCAAGCATGAGCCTGCTGTTGATGTGTGCACACGGTAGAGAAAAGGGCGAGATGACCACAGGGGCTGCGGCTCGACCCCAAGCCGATGGGTACTCCATATCCAGCCTTTTCACTGGATGCTACTGGCTCTGTTCCTGCACATGCCTTCCTCTAAGGACCCCGTGCTGTTGTCCTTCATGCAGCTCTCCTCCAAGTGGGACATTTAGCCAACTAACAGTGTGCACAAGGTTTCTTTTTGAGGTCATGGAAATGTTCTAAAATCAGATTGTAGGGGTGCCTGGGTGGCTCAGTTGGTTAAGTGTCTGCCTTCGGCTCAGGTCATGATGGTCAGGTTCTGGGATCAAGTCCCTTGTGGGACTCCTTGCTCATCAGGGAGCCTTCTTCTCCCTCTCTTTCTGTTCTTCCCACCCCAACTTGTGTTCTCCCTCTTGCTCCCAAATAAATAAAACCTTTATAAATAAATAAATCAGATTGTAATAATGGTCACACAACTTTATAATTTTTTTTTGAGAAATTTATTTATTTGAGAGAGCACAAGCAGGGGGAGTGGCAGGCAGAGGAAGAGGGAGAAGCAGGCTCCCCACTGAGCATGGAGCCCAATGTGGGGCTCGACCCCAGGATGCTGGGATCGATGAGTTGAGCCTACGGTAGAAGCTTAACTGAGTGAGGCACCCAAGCGCCCCTCACTCTAGTTTTTAGTTTCCTTATCTATAATATGGAGATAATATTGACTTCACAGGGATGAGTGTCCGTTAAGTCAAGTAATACGTACGATGTCATGCGGTGCAGAGACCTGGTGTAATAAATACTGTTCAAATCCAGCCTCTTCCTGGGCTTTCTCGAATGGAAGTGTAAGAGACAAAGGATTCTGTGGGTTGCTTTTTTCCATTGTGCTCGGTGTTTCACATTCCATACGTCCCATCTCCCTCCAGTCTCAGGGACGCTCTCCTAAGGACCTCCCTTTCTTCGTTCTGATATGACGTACTGCTTTCTGCACCAGGGACTCCCAGTCCAGCGCTGTCCTGAGGCCTTCTTGCTTTGATCTTCCTTCTAATCATATTCAGATGGAGGGATGCCTGTTTCATTCTTGAATCAGGACTTCTGGCCTCTGCACCACCTTTACAGAACTGAGATTTCCTGTCCCTTCTTCTCTCTCTGAATGTCCTCTGGGGCAGGTTGCGGGGTAGGGGTGGGGGGGTTGGGGTGGGGTTGTTTCTTTGGAAAAAGCCTTTGACCTTACGTCCTCTCTCCTCCTTCCTCCACTTGCACTTCGCCCCATCAGCATTCCCTGGAGATGGGACAGAGGGAGGAAGCAGAGAGTGAGGAGGCTCAGAGTGCCAGGACCCGTGGCCTGAAGGGGTAGTGGTCACTGTCCATGGCTGTCTGTGCATTGATACTATCGCCTCTGACTGTTCTTAGTCTACAGTGAGGCATTCTTGTCTCCCAGCAGACCTCACTCTACAGACTGTGCCACACACAGGAAGATGACCCTGCCGCTTGAGAAGAGATGCTCGAAGACCCAGAGGATTAGAATCTTACCAATGGCTGGCCGTGACCCTGAATGCCAGCGCACAGAGATGATTAAAGTACGTCGGTTAAGCTTTATCCTGGGATTTTTTGGGTATTAAGAGCTGTACTTTCCAGAATATTAATTCACAATTTTGTGTGACCACAACCATTTTATCTTGCTCCTATCAGGGAGCCAGCTTCAACCCAAGTGTGGCATGTCAGTGGCCACGGTAAGATGCCGCAAACCAGACACTCGTGTTCTCTGTTCAGTTTATGAGATTTCAGGGGAAATCTGGTAATTTAGAAAATGTAACCTTTGACAGCTATCGTAAAACTTTGTTAGCCAGATAGCTAGGAAGGTCAAAAAGACGTTCCTGACTCTCTCGACACCAGCTCTGCCTTGTGAACCCCAGTGTGTGGACGGCCAGGTGGAGGATGCGTGTGACTGTTCTGCTTTGGGGCTCAGGGATCCTCCCCTACCAGCGCCTCCCCGTCCTGTCATCAGGAGCTGTGAGGAAGCTCTGGGGCCCAGACAGGACCGTCTGCGCACCACTGTAGTTCGGTGGAGCCCGAGCACGCTGGGTGTCTGTCTCGGGTCAGCAGACACAGCCTCCCTCAGGTGTCCACTGGGCTGAGGTTCCTCGGGCTGCTCTCTGGGCTCTGCCTGGCAGCACGGGGGACGCTGCAGCTCCCGAGGCCACGTGTGTGCCCAGTGTGATCGAGTGGCTAGCACGAGGGAGCTTTCTGCCCCTTCACCCCGTGATGCCTGCACACCTGGAACTCAACTGCACTGAGTGATCACGGTGTGAGGTAACGGGTGTGGCATGGGGAGAACGGTTTTCTGAAGACAAGAAATGTAGTAAATCTAAGTTCAAGTGGGCAGAAAGGTAGTTCATTTTTTCAGTTAAAAAGGTTTGCTTCTTTACAGAAAGAAGAACGATTGAGGGCTTCTACTCATGAGACAATCCACCTGTGGGAGAAGCAGAACCAGCAGGGGCTGAGTGTCCCCTGCCAGGACCCCAGCAGTGCCTGTGAGGAGGAGGAGGAAGGCGCTGAAGCCATTAAAAACCATTACCAAGGGGAGCTCCAAGGTTAGCTGGGCATGGAGGTAACATGTCTTCTGAGGGCTGCAGAGGTTGGTGGGCTTTTATTCCCTGTCCCGCTGGGATTTAGTGAGGATAACAGTACAGAGGACTTGTATTTTTACTGTTTTTCTTAGGGCCATTTTCCCACAGAAAAGCTTAGCTAGGAAAATAAGGCACCCCCAAAATAAAACAATTAAATAATTTTTGTCCTTGTGGAGGAAAACATGTAATGAGCGGTTTGCCTTCTTGTGTAATTGATGTGGTATTTAAATGTTGTAGTTTTTTGTTTTGTTTTGTTTAAAGATTTTATTTATTTGACAGAGATCACAAGTAGGCAGAGAGGCAGGCGGGGGGGGGGGGCAGGAAGCATGCTCCCCGCTGAGCAGAGAGCTGGATATGGGGCTCAATCCCAGGATCCTGAGATCATGACCTGAGCCCAAGGTAGAGGCTTAACCTACTGAGCCACCCAGGCGCCCCTAAACTTTGTAGTTTTTAATATGTGCATAAAACCTGTTGGGTGTTAAAAAGTGATGACTCTCTCTCAGAACAAAACCTCTCAAATTGAAGTCATTTAAGCATGTCTGAAAGTTATATATACCTTCTCATCAAAATTTTAAGGATGTTGGGGGCACCTGGGTGGCTCATTCCATTTAGTGTCTGCCTTCGGCTCAGGTTATGATCCCGGGGTCCTTGGATCGAGGCCCTTGTTGGGCTTCCTGCCGGGTGGGTGGCCGGCTTCTCCCTCTCCCCACTCATGCTCTCTTCTATCTCTCAAATAAATAAAATTGTAAAACACAACAACAACAAAACAAAAAGAAGAAAACTACAGAAAAATACAGGCTTTAAAAGAAGTGAAATACTGAGGAAGCAGGGAAACATATTTCAAGTAATATGACTGAAATGTCAGCCAGTGTAGAGTGAGGAGGAAGTGTCCCTCCTGCCCTGATCGTTGCCCAGGAGAAGCCCTGATTTGTGGGGCCCAACCGGCTAGTGTCTGTGGACATGGGTTGCTGCTTTGGGGTGGTCTTCTAATGTGAAGGGCTGGCTCCCCCATCAGCTCAGAACCACTTTATTTTTTAATTTTAATTTTTTAAAAAAGATTTATTCATGAGAGTTAGGCAGAGGGAGAAGCAGGCTCCTGGCTGAGCAGGGAGTCCAATGCGGGGCTTGATCCCAGAACCCTGGGATCATGACCTGAGCCGAAGGCAGACGCTTAATGACTGAGCCACCCAGAAGCCCCGACTGACTTGCAAATATTGAACCTCCACTTGGTCAGTTGGTGAATGATTTTTTTAAAATACATTTTTAGATTCAGTTTGCTAGTTTTTTTTTTTTAAGATTTTATTTATTTATTTGACAGAGAGATCACAAGTAGGCAGAGAGTCAGACAGAGAGAGAGAGAGAGAGAGAGAGAGAGAGAGAGAAGCAGGCTCCCTGCTGAGCAAAGAGCCCGATGCGGGGCTCGATCCCAGGACCCTGAGATCATGACCTGAGTCGAAGGCAGCGGCTTAACCCACTGAGCCACCCAGATGCCCTAGTTTGCTAGTATTTTATTGAAGATAGCTCAAACAATGGTAGACAAAATTTCTAGAAACATTCAATATTGAATTTTTACATCTTCCCTTTCGTATCTGTTCAGAAGATGAGGCCTCCGGAAAGAGGAAAGTAGGGGGTGAAGAGGAAGAAAGTGACTAAAGTATAAAACGTGCCCTCAAGTATACATTGTACTGACCTTTGAGGAATACCGGTTTGAACTGCGTGGGTCCACTTACAGCTTTTTTTTTTTTTTTTTTTTATAAATATGGTACGGTGCTGTAATGTATTTTCTCTTCCTTTTGGTTTTCACAGATTTTCTCTAGCTTGTTTTATTATAAGAATATATAATACATTAACAAGCAAAATATGTATCAACTGTGTTATCAATAAGGCTTCTGGTCATCAGTAAACGATGAGCAGTTAAGTTTCTGGGGAGGTAAAAGTTATTCTCGGCTTTTCGACTGTGCAGAGAGTTGGCACTCCTAAACCCATTATTCAACAGACAGATGTATATTGTTTCCAACAGTTTGCTTTAAAGCAATCATGACATGACTTGTTTTGGTTGAAATGATGAATTGAATCGCTTTTGCATAATCCTAGTTGTGAATAAAAAATGTTCAGAAGCAAGTCTGTGACTTCAGAAAATCCATTTTTCCCTAACTATTCTGGGTCTTGGGTTTTTGTGCATTTTGGCTGCTCTGCCCCACCTCATCCTCCTGGCTGGGTCCCGAGGTGGGCTTTGAAAGTTCAAGTCAGGCATCGCCTCTTCAGGATGTCCTCCTCTCCTGCTTAGCTGGGTCTGCGGCCCATCTGTGGATTGTCGTTCATTTCCATAGGTATGGCACAAACTTTCTGTTGACCACATGGCCCCGTGGTCGTGTCAGCACAGGCACACCACTGGACGCCGAGTGCTTTGCCAAGCACCATGCCGGCCCTACCAGTTCTAATCCTCAGAATAACCAGGAGGCAGATATTGTTAGTCCCACTTTACAGACTTGGAAGCTGAGGTTTAAAGAACTTTAAGACTATCCAGGGACACGTTGGTGGCTCAGTTGGTTAAGTCTCTGCCTTCGGCTCAGGTCATGATCTCAGGGTAGTGGGTTCGAGCCCCGTGTCGGGCTCTGCACTCGGTGTGGAGCCTGCTTGTGACTCTCCCTCTGCCCTCCCTCCTGCTTGCATGCTCTCTCAAGTAAATAAAATCTTTATTAAAAGAAATACCTCTCTCCAAAGTTTTTTCCTCCCAAGTAAAAAAAAAGCACTTTTAAAGAAGTTTTTATTCATTTATTTGTCAGAGTGAGAGGGAGAAGCAGGCTCCCTGCTGAGCAGAGAGCCTGATTCGGGGCTTAATCCTAGGATCCCGGAATCATGACCTGAGCCAAAGGCGGAGGCTTAACTGACTGAGCCCCCCAGGTGCCCTGGAAAGCTTCACATTTGAAGGACAAAAGTTGTTTGGTGATATTGGACCCACATATGGTTGGCCACCCTCATTTGGTCCCTAAAAGAGCAGGGGGCAACTCTGCTGGACATGAGGACACTGTCTCCCCAGGGCCACTCAGACTCATAGGAGCTGGAGGTGCCAGACGGTACAAGGGCCTGAGCCTCCTGATCTCCAAAGAGGACAGGCGTCCAGACCTGAAGGAGAGAGTGAGCCCAACAGCCATCCCTGGGAGGCCAGCCAACATTAAAGATGCAACGGGAAGGTCTTCATTCCCCTGTTTCAGAATTCTGAAATTTTTAAATTATCTGACACTTATCCCTAAAAGATTGCTCAAACCCATTAGAACACATTTCACAGATTTTCTCTTTTGCTTGGTGGATTTGGGTGACTGGTAAGAGAGTGCTTTGCTATAAAAATCATCTTTAGTTTATTGGCAGGATTGGCTCAGTTGTCAGGTCCATAAGATTCTGTTTCTTCGCTTTTGTCAATTCACTTTTTTTTTTTTTTTTTAAAGATTTTATTTATTTGTCAGAGAGAGAGAGGGAGAGAGAGCGAGCACAGGCAGACAGAATGGCAGGCAGAGGCAGAGGGAGAAGCAGGCTCCCCGATGAGCAAGGAGCCCGATGTGGGACTTGATCCCAGGACGCTGGGATCGTGACCTGAGCCGAAGGCAGCTGCTCAACCAACTGAGCCACCCAGGCGTCCCTGTCAATTCACTTTTATGGCCAGACCAGACCAAGTCCCGAAGGTATTTCAACAATAGGAAATTATTATTTTTAAGTGTAAAGATGGTCAAGTATTGACAATTTTATATGGCTTAATGTAACAGACTGGGATAGTATAACTACAGGAAATAAGCTTGTCCCTGAAGGGTTATGTTAGAAAGTTTAGAACATAAGAACTAATGGGAAATTTCAAGAAGTTCAAGTCTATAGAATTTTTGATAAACTTTATTGAAATTATTTCAGTATGATGTAAGTTCTAAATGCCTATAGTACATAGTCTTCAAAAGAAACTTCACTTATGAATCAAGCTTTATTTAATTATCAGTATATTTAATATCAGTAATATTTGAGTAACAAGACTTATGGAGCTAAATTCTAATGCAGAATAGAAGGACCAAATTACAATGATGTAAAAATATAAACTCTGCTTATAAATACATTTTCTGAATTTAAAAATAGTGAAGCATTTCTTTGGTAAGCAAGTCTTACAGTGAGAATGATCTAGAAAGATGACTTGTCAGAGCTGACAGTGAAGACAGTTTGATAGATGGTTAGAACCAAGAACTCAAACCCTTGTCCAAGGGCAACAGGAGTGGTTCTGGTATATTGTGTATTTGGTTCCCGTGGGAGCCTTGTGTTCAGCTAATACTATGCACAAGTGAAGTGGCCGTCAAGGCATTATACTAAGTGAACTAAGCCAGAGAAAGACAAATACTGTATGATCTCATTTATTTGACTATCTAAAAACACTGACCTCAGGCCTAGAATAGCCTGGTGGTTGCCCGAGGCAGGGGTGGGGCATGGAAGACACCGTGGAAGTGGTCAGAGCTAGAAGCTTGATGAACAAACCCTAAACCCTGAGGACAGCATGGTGACCCCAGTTAACAATGCCGTATTACAGATCTGGAAAGTTGCTGAGAGAGTAGATCCTAAAAGTTCTCACCGCAGGAAGAATCATTGTTTTTAACTGCGTGAGGGGATGGATGTTAACTAAACTTGGGGTAGATATTTCGCGATATATACGTATGTCACATCATGTTACCTACCTTCAGCTAATACAGTTATATGTTAATTATATCAGTAATATTAGAAAAACGTTGTTTTAAAAGAGTGAAGGGGCACTGTGATGAAGGGGCAAAGGGACAAAACTGAACTCGCAGAGGATGGCAGCTGCTGGGGATCCGGGAGAGCATATCACCCTCCGGTCTGTGGGGAGGTGCCTGTGCGTCCTGACACCAAAAGGTAAGGGCAAGGGAGATGTGCCCTGCGAGTACAGAACCCAAAAAAGCAGATTTTATGACACCTCATCAATCTCATTTTAATGGCAGCAAGGATTAAATGAAATGCACAACAGGACTAACATTTTATCAAAGCATTTTTCTAATTTTTATTATACCATGGAATCCCCTTTTTCAGTGAAAATACATCAGATACTGTCAAAGAAAAAACAATTTACAAAGTTCTATTTACATTAACTTTTCCAGAGTGCACCTACTGCACAAAATGAGTGTGTGGGTTACTTCATTCAAATAACAGGAATTGGCAATTTAATGAGATAATTCTCCTTGAACTCTAACAATCTGCTGTTTTTTTTTTTTAAACACAATGTTTATTTGGTCTTCTAAATGACAGGCACCCTTAAGAAATGTATTTTATGTATACTTAAGACTTCTACTAGATTTAAGCTACAAGTTTATAGCACCAAAATGCATTTTAATATCAGTATTAATATTGCTTTTTTCAATACATACAATTTCATGTAGACATACTTGCAAAATCAATTTCAGACAAATATGAATGTAAAATTGTACAAAATGGGAAATTAAAAGATTTTTAAAAAGAGCAATTTAAAAGTGCAAAGAGTATTCTTTGATTTGATAACCAGATATGTTTAAATTGGTTAGCCTACAGAATGTTTTAAGGCCTTACAAAATCTTTGGTTTAAAAATTAAGACTATTTCAGAACCCTAATACACATTTATTTATTTATTTATTTAAAATCACAAGTAGGCAGAGAGGCAGGCAGAGAGAGGTTTGGGAAGCAGGCTCCCTGCTGAGCAGAGAGCCCGATGCGGGGCTTGATCCCAGGATCCTGGGATCATGACCTGAGCCGAAGGCAGAGGCTTTAACCCACTGAGCCACCCAGGTGCCCATTATTACAGCATTTTTTTTTTTAATAATTTTTTAAGGTTTTATTTGTTTGACAGAGAGTGAGAGAAAGCCCAAGCTGGGAGAGTAGCAGGGGGGAGGGAGAAGCAGACTTCCTACTGAGCAAGGAGCCCGATATGGGGCTCGATCCCAGGACCCTGAGATCACGACCCGAGCCGAAGGCAGAGGCTTTAACCCACTGAGCCACCCAGGTGCCCCTATTACAGCACTTTAAAGCTATGTAGAAATACTGTAAGTTACTAAATGGTTAAGAGGTGCCAGAATCTTAAAGATCAAAGTAAACATCAGTTTTCTCCCTTATAATTCTTGATTTCCTGTATTCAATTGGATGAATGGTCATCTTTAAAGATAATTATGAAAAAATGTTTTCTTGACAAACCATAAGTGACTCTTAATCTCACAAAACAAACTGAGGGTTAATGGGGGGGTGTGGGGGGGTGGGATTATGGACATTGGGGAGGGTATGTGCTATGGTGAGTGCTGTGAAGTGTGTAAACCTGGCGATTCACAGACCTGTACCCCTGGGGATAAAAAGATATTATATGTTTATGAAAAATAAAATAAAAAAAAAATGTTTTCTTTAACTTTATAACGAACTGTTATGGTACAAGCAAAACACTGCTTCATACTTCGGTAAGTCAAATGAAAAAGATATTACCCATAAGTACGATATACATACTAGGTAGGGCACCCCCGACCTATATTTAAACAACCACCTGTGGTAGAAGGGGTAACATACTTCTCAATTCACCGACTTCCAGCACAGAGCAAGCAAGGAGGCCTTGCTGTTAGCGTAATGACGACCCTTGCTGCGTGCTCGCTCCCCACCCTGTGGCAGGTGAGCAGTCTCTAGAATCAAGTACATCTTCAAAGCTGTGTATGAAGAGACAGAAATACTTGCTAACTTCAAAAAAGAGTATCAGTGGTTTCTAACTGAAAGGGAATAGTGCAAAGTCAATCTTTGGCCCCTGTGAAACACTGGATACTGACTCAGAAAAAAATAAAGACAACCAATTCTTACGAGGGAAGCATTCACCCGTGGAGAAGGCTTAGCAGCAGAGACACAAGATGCCGCCTGGCTCATTAAAGTACACCGTCCAGCCCAAGCCAAAGGGGTGACACTTTGTAATTCAATTTCAAAAACTCTTCTTTAAAGAATCAACCTACCTATCCCCCACTCTTAAATGGGATTCTTCCCTTTATTCCCTGTAAGTGATCCAGCCAGGCCTGAATTCTGGTGTCAGGATACTCCCGATTTCTTCCTGCCTGTCTCTTGCAGCTGGGATGGCTCTGCCATCTTCTGCTCCAGGGGCTGCCCTGAAACAGCGCCGGAATCCAGGTCCGAATCCCGTCTCTCCGCCTGTGCAGGAGGTGGCCTGCACGAATACACTGTTCACATGATCATTTGAATGCTGTGAGCATGGGCAGTAGGAAGAAACTCTTCTCATGAGAGATTACTTTTACACAATGTGGACAAAACAGTATACGATGAAAGGAAACGTAATAAATATTAGCTTTATGAAGGACAGTTTCCCTTACTGGCTGGACAGTTCATAGCAAGCATCACGAGGTGAGTCACGACCATCTCTGCGATCCTGCGGAGCACGCACGAATTCTCACAATGCAGTGCTACAGCTAATGCCTGCTCAGGCCAGATGCTCCCTTACTTTAAAATAATCATCAGTTTCAGTGACCTTTTTGCATGTGCCTCAGACGCAAATTCCATCACGTTTATCATCTTTGATTTCACGTGTTTAATAACAGCCTTCTTTTTTCTTAAATAACCAAGAGCTGGCTCTATGTCTTTTACAGAGCAGAAAACAGCTTGCCTATTTACATGCTTTTGACTATGAGCTTTCACAAAATTTTAAGTTACACAAAAATTTAATTATGCCCAATTAAAATAAAAAACTATAATGAATTTAGACACAACTCTACTTTTAAACAAAGTACGTAACCCGGCCAAGCTGATGACTGTGTTTAAATAAGTCTAGATGTTGCTGGCTCACACCCATCAGGCGGGCGCGGTGACCTGCAGGAGGCAGAAGGCCCCTTTCTCTCTCCCAGAGATGGGCTTGTACTCCTGAACAGAGGGCCAGGTTTTGAGTCCTCGGTTTAAAATTCCGGCATTTTGCTTTCTTGATAGAAACAGAAAGCACACTCTTGTCAAGTTCATGTATTCTAAAACAGGGAAAGGGCTCCATGCGATGGGATAAGGAAAGAAAGCTCTGATGAGGGTCTTGTACCTAACAGGTGCAAAGGCAATTCTTCTATTAGGTCCCTTTATGATTTAAAAAAGATTGGTCCTTAAACCGTTCATAGTATTCTACATAAATGATTTCCTAAACTTCTTTCACAATTGTACTTTTTAACTCATGACTCCTCACAATCCATTTAATTAAGCTAAATTAAAATTGATTTTAGCAGAAAGAAGAAATGTTATAAAATACAAAATACCACCTACTATTGATTTTACAATTTGAAATTGTTAACAACATAAACTAGAAAAAAGATACATGTAGTTTAAAAAAAAAAAAAAAAAGATTTCCAGTCTCTTCCCTTCCACCCAGGAAAATCTTACATCTGACATCACCACCATGAGCTCCTAGTAACCTCTTTAAGTCTCCCAAAGATTGGATCTTGGTGGACTTAGGGGTGGTCTCCTTCGACTCGTCTTTTGCGAACTGTGAGAAAAAAAGAAAACATGTTAAAAATCCTGGCTACTTTGTACAATGTTAATTGCTTGTAAGGAACAAGTTTCTGTACGATCCAGTTAGAGCTGTACAGAAATGAAATATCCATTTGTTGTTCACAAGCCATTAAAATAAATTCACATCCTTCATCACTGCCATGTGTTGAGAACTGAGGAGCTTGGGCATGCGAAGCACATGTCCTCCGCTCTGCTGAGCCCCCACGGGAGCGGGGAAGTCTACAGCACTGCTCCACATTCACCTTTACATCACTGCTCCCGTCTTATTTGTTATTTTAAAAAAACTGATACCTGTTACGACAACAACTTATAAATTACTATGTTAAATTTTGAAGTCACACTCAGCTGGGATTAGAACGTATTAAAAATAACGACTTGTGGGGCGCCTGGGTGGCTCAGTGGGTTAAGCCGCTGCCTTCAGCTCAGGTCATGATCTCAGGGTCCTGGGATCGAGTCCCGCGTCGGGCTCTCTGCTCAGCGGGGAACCTGTTCCCCCCCCCCCCGCCTGCCTCTCCGTCTACTTGTGATCTCTGTCAAATAAATAAATAAAATCTTAAAAAAAAATTGTATAAAAATAACGACTTGCATGCTCTTCGGACAACCCATTTCCTTAGTTTGTGAAAGAACAAAAATATTTTTATCATTTTAAAGGTAAGTGACTTGCTACTGTTCTCCAAATTTTCCTTCTAGTGTCTCCTACAAAATCAACTGGGCTCTGACAAAACAACAAAATACGAAGTGATGCACGCCTCAGCCCCTAGTAATGTGGTGAGATCCTATCTGGCGAACATAAGAAGCTCTGGCCACCAAAGTGATCTGTGAATAGTCTAGTGGACGGAGCAAAAGAAAGGTGTGTACGTCTCAGGAGCCCTCGGCCACTTCACAGCCTGGTGACCCCAAACTAGTAGGCCGTACTCGGTGATGGTAGGATAGGTCTTCAAGCAGACATTCAAATGATGTGCAAAAAAGCTTGTCCAGCCATTGGATGGGTGCTAGCTAGAAAGCAAAAACTGGGAGAACTGAAGTATCAAGCTCCCATGAGCATTCTTCTGCTTAGCTGACTCAATACAACCCTTACTCTAATTTTAGTACATGTTAACAAAAAGCAAGTCTTGCATGTTTACTGAAATATTAAGGGGAAAAAAATCAGGGACTTAAGTCCTCAAATACAAACCTGATTCATATATATAGGTCTCTGAAAAATACAGAAATACTTTCTTGAAAGACAAGCCCAATTAACCCTTTTGGGTAGATTCTTTCCAAGTGAATGTTGAATTGCAGCAGGGTTTACATGTTATTGGCAGAGCATTTCAGATATTAAAATGCATGTCATAAGTAACACATGTAAAGGAGGTCTGTGACAGAAGGGAGCAGACCAAAAGGTTGGAAATGATGTGGTTAGCTGGCGTGAGGACAGTAACAGGAGACTCAGAGTTCACATAAATATTGCATGTGTGCTGTGGACCCTGTTGGCTGCTCATAGCTAGGACACTTCGTAGCTGGAGAGATGGGAGTAGGTAGGATTATTTCAACAAACAGGAAAACTATGAGAGGAAAGACATCAGAATCAACACTAAAGATCTGATATAGCCCCACGTGCAAGATGAAGAAAAACTAGATACCTGGGGAGTGTATGTTTCAAATTTTGATCTTTGAGGTCTTTCTGGCAGCTACATGCCAGACTGCCGGTACGAGCACAGGGTCTTGATGCTTGCCGCCTTGACCTGTGTGCCAAGACCAAAACGTAGGTCTGGGAAATGAGCAGAGGGTGCTGGGAGCACGCACAGAAGAAGACGGGGCCAAGAACCAGGTCGGACTCTTCTTCCTTACTCAGTGCCTACTTGCTACCAGCAATTTCTCGGTTCAGCTGCTAGATGAGAGGCTCATAAATTTGGCCCTATTAATTCATTTTTTAAAAGGTTTTATTTATTTGTCAGCACAAGCAGAGGGAGTGGCAGGCAGAGAGAGAAGCAGGCTCCCTGCTGCAGGGCTCGATCCCAGGACCCTGGGATCATGACCTGAGCCGAAGGCAGATTCTCAACCGACTGAGACACCCAGGTGTCCTACCTATTAATAATTCTTTGGCAATTTCTTTCTAAAACCCACTCCACTAATAGACGTTCTCAATACTTTATGATCAATTGCAAATAAATTCTAACCTCACATCCAATCTCTAGAAGAATAAAAAATACGGGTTTTTTTTTTTTTTTTTTAAAGATTTTTTTATTTTTTTTACAAAGGGAGAGAGAGGTCATAAGTAGACGGAGAGGCAGGCAGAGAGAGAGAGAGGGAAGCAGGCTCCCGGCCGAGCAGAGAGCCCGATGCGGGACTCGATCCCAGGACCCTGAGATCATGACCTGAGCCGAAGGCAGCGGCCTAACCCACTGAGCCACCCAGGCGCCCACGGGTTTTTTTTTTTTTTTTTTAAGTTTATTTTAATCAAGCATCCAATGGCCAATAATGGCTCTCAAATGCTCCTGCCAAAAAATCCAAAGAAACTAAGTTTCTTCCCATCTAATTTTAGTGCCTACTACCAGCACTGCCTTTTTATCTGCTGTGTTAGCTTCCAGAAGCAAGTACTTCTGCAAGTTTACTCTGGAGGCAGCAGCCAGCAATGAGAGTCCGTTTTTACAGTCTGCATGCTGTCCTCAGCATATAAATAACTACCTTGATCCCAAATGTGAGGTTTGATCCATGTACTTCCCCACTCCAGTAAAGTTCCTATTCTCATCTCATGTTTGAAACTCTGGCTTGGCTCAGAAAGAGTGAGCATGAGGTGGGGGGGGGGGTGGTCTCCAGAGCTACCTACACAAAGCTGTTTGCTTTCTCTCACTTCGGTTTCACGTCAGACCACACCTTCAACATGGCCTCCGCCTCCGCCTCCTCTATTACACATGGCCGTGGACACCCACTCAGGGGCACAGTGTCAACATGAAGCAGCCCAGGAAGTATTTTCCATGTGTTCTCTCATCTTCTGATATACTGTTGATTCTCCATGTAATTAATTAGCATGACTTTCCAAGTTATACTGAGAATCAACAGCACACCAAACACACCAAATTTCTAAAATGCAAGAGACTAAAAGCTTCTGTGAGAAACGAAGTCATCAAGGGATAGACAGGGTTTGAACTAACACTCTTCACAGTAATTTGGGTTGAGAGAAGGAAGCTATAACTTCTTTGCTTTAGAAACCTTTAAAGAATGCAAACACAAATATGGCTGAAGTTGAAAAGAACTGCATCACTTTGAAGTGTTACTTTAAGAAGTCTTACTTTGATTCTTGTCTAAACACATCTTTAAAAATATTTCAATGACAAACACCAAACTTAAAAGAAGAGTCAATTATTGGAAACATGTAGAAACAAAATTATAAGCATCATATTCTTTAATTCAGCCTTGGCTGGAAAAACTTATGTCAAACAGAAACAGAAGCCTCAGCAGTATTTTCAGTAGGAGTGTGCAGCGAGAAGACAAACTGCCCAGTAACGGCTGTGTTCGGAAAGCCGGTGAGGACAGCAGACACTTACGTGCCACATGCTATAAAACTTGGATCAAAACTATAAGCCATATTTTATATGTAAAAACGAATTTCTATGTAGGCCTGTTTGATAAAAAGGGCAAAAAACTGGGGCTGCCTGGGTGGCTCAGTGGGTTAAAAGCCTCTGCCTTCAGCTCAGGTCATGATCTCAGGGTCCCAGGATCGAGTCCCACATCGGGCTCTCTGCTAGGCAGGGAGCCTGCTTCCTCCTCTCGCTCTCTCTCTCTCTCTACTTGTGATCTCTGTCAAATAAATAAAATCTTAAAAAAAAAAAAAAAAAGGGCAAAAAACTTCCCTGAAATGTTGAAATCTTTAATAGCTCCAAGAGGTGACTTGTAACTGAAAACAAAATTTTTGTTCCAAGATGCATTTATATTTCTAGTAGAAAACTGTTAGCTTAAAGCTGTGAAATGTTCGTTTCAGGAGAATTTCACCCATGAACCCAGTAATCACTACAACTGTGCTTAAACTGAACTCTAATTCAGTCAATATAAAAAGGGCAGTGCAGATTTTAAAAACAAAGGCCCAAAATTCCGTGTTGAAACTTACTGGGAAAAAAAGTCCCTCTAATACATTAGCTTAATGATACAATTCAGAAATTTGATTTGAAATGCGTCTGTCTTACCCAAGTCATTGTTTTTTGTTATAGCATTAGCTGCCCTGGTCCGGGGTCCCTGCTGTGTAAACTGATATCCAAATTTAAGGATATTTGTATTTTCCTCAAGCATCTTGGCCATTTCCAATTCTACAGCTGTTCCCAACTGCTGCCTCTGGAATAATTAAAGAATAGTATTAATAAGTTAGATCAAAATACTTTTCAAGGTAAGTCAAGACTAAGACATTCAGGTAAATGCTGATTTTGCTGGTCTCTTTAAATTTTCCCAATTCTTACAACATACTTACACAGGAGAAACAACATTTTGAAGCTCAGTATATGTTTCTACAGACACCAAAAAAACTGGATTGCCAGAAGGAGATACCACTTCATACCCATTATTAGGAGATGATTATAGTGTTGGCCAGAATGTGGGAAAATTGGGAAGCTCACACATGCTGGTACAAGTGCGAGATGGTGCAGTTGCTGTGGAAAACAACTCAGCCATTCCTCAGAAAGTTAAACACAGAGTTATCGACCATATGACTTTGCAATTCCACTCCTAGGTATGTACCCATGAGAAATGAAAACCTATGTTCATATAAAAACTTGTATATGAATGTTCATATCAGCATTATTCCCAATATTTAAAAAGTAGAAACAACCCACATGTAATAGATTATTCAGGCATCAAAGAGAGTAACTACCGATACATATCACAACATGGACGAACCTGCGGAATATTTCGCTAAGTGAAAGAAGGCAGACACAAAGACCGCATATTGTATCATTCCGTTTGTAGGCAAATGTGCAGAGACAGAAGGGTTAATGGTTGCCAGGGGTGGAGGGAAGGGTGATGAAAACGTTCTGAAATTAATGGCGATGGCTGCACAACTCTATGAATATGTTCAAACCCATACTCAGAATGTTAATATTCTGGATGCTTCAAATGTCCTCATCTCCTTTCAGGCCACCACCTTCCCCAAATGCCCCCCTTCCACCTGCCTCCTGAGTCCCCAACCCCTCCACGGCTTCCTCAGTTACTGCTGTAGAACACTGACCTGATTGTCAATCTTGAGCTCGGCCAGGGTTTCATTATCTCTTAGAGCATCAACCAGGGCTAGAATCCCAACTCCTGTAATAAAGTTGGACTCTATATTTAAGCTCTTCAAATTTTTGTTTACTCTCAGCATATCTGCAAAAGCCTAGAAATTATAAAGAAAATATTTAGAGATAAAAATTGACAGTACCCAGCATATATTCTATCTGCCATAAACAAATACAATAATTAGCAGAACTGCTCTGATGTTTCTCATTAGACTGTTTTAGGCTGACACACAACCTCATAGGCCTCATACCTATTTTTCACACACGATCTGTCATGGTATTTAGATTTGTCACACGTAATCCTCTGTTGGTAATATTCTCTGCTGCTTTTCACACTGTTATGTTCACTCCTACCCTACTCCCTCCTTTCTCCTGTCTCTCTCACACTTTCTCTCAGTTCTTGTGTAGGACAAATTTCATCAAGGTCTCTTTGGAACATCTTTTCTTACTTGGGTCCTACTGCAGCTGGTTTTTAGTGTAGCAAAAATGAAGATAAATTATGGACTGATTTTTGAGGCTGAGATGGGAAGGGATGCCTAAGGCAGAAGGTCAGAAATGCTCACAGATTACCAGAACACAGAGTCAAGTTAAAAGAAAAGGCAAAAGAGGACAGAGATACTAGAAAGAACTTGGGACAGGTATCTCTACGTGTATACGTTTCATTAGTGACAACTAGCTACGTGGAACAAATCCCTTATCCATTTGTATTGTACATACAATTGTACATACAAATGAAATGTATATACATTTCTTCAAATATTACTGGTGGCTGATTATTTGATTAAGTACTGCTCTGAAGATTTAGAAACAGAACATACATGTTTCTGCCTGATGGAACTTATATTTTAGTGGGGAGGGAGTGGACAATAACCAAAATATAACGTTAGATGGTAAACAGAGCTACAGAGAAAGAAAATAGGGTAGATGGAGAGTGTTGGGGACAGGCGTGGTCAGGAAAGGCCTCACCAGGAAGGTGACGCTGGAGCAATGGCTCAAAGTGGTGACATAAAACAATGTGAAATATCATTTCACATCAATATTTCATGTGAAATATGAAAGGCGAAACAAGGCAGGAGAAACAAGGGGGAAGGCCCTGCATCAGAGGCATGCATCACACGTCTGAGGAAGAGTTAAGAGGCTGTATGTCTATAGTTGAATGAAAGAAAGCGCAAGTAGTGGAGCCTGACTCTTGGTTTCAGCTCGGGTCTGATCTTGGGGTCATAAGATCAAGCCCTGTGTCAGGCTCTGTGCTTAGCCGGGGAGTCTTGCTTGAGATTCTCTCTTTCCCTCTCCTTCTGTCCTTTCCTCTCTCTCTCAAATAAATATTAAAAAGGAAAAAAATGGGGCAAGTAAAGGATTATAAGACTACTGAAGGATAGTGATTTTTATTATTAGACAAATGGACTGAGCTGCTGAAGGGTTCTGAGTATAAGAATGAAGTAACTAGGGGCGCCTGGGTGGCTTAGTGGGTTAAGCCTCTGCCTTTGGCTCAAGTCATGATCCCGGGGTCCTGGGATTGAGCCCCACATTGGGATCTCTTCTCAGTGGGGAGCCTGCTTCCCCCTCTCTCTGCCTACCTCTCTGCCTACTTGTGATCTCTGTCAAATAAGGAAATAAAACCTTAAAAAAAAAAGAAAGAATGAGGTAACTAAACAAGTTTTTAAAAGAACACTTTTGGGGGTATCCTGATGGCTCAGTCGGTTAAGTACTTGTCTTCGGCTTGTGTCATGATCCCAGGGTTGGGGGATTGAGCCCCACATCAGGCTCCCTGCTCGGCAGGCAGTGTGCTTTTCTCTCCCTCTACTCTCCCGCCCCCATCCCAGATTGTGCTCTCTCACTCTGTCTCAAATAAATGAATCACTTTTGATGCTATGTAAAAAAGGCTGGCTTTGAGGGGCGCCTGGGTGGCTCAGTAGGTTAAGACTCTGCCTTCAGCTCAGGTCATGATCCCAGGGTCCTGGGATCGAGCCCTGCATTGGGCTCTCTGCTCGGCAGGGAGCCTGCTTCCCCCTCGCTCTCTCTGTGCTGCTCTGCCTACTTGTGATCTCTCTCTCTGTGTCAAAGAAATAAATAAAATCTTTAAAAAAAAAAAAAAAAAAGGCTGGCTTTGAGGTGGGAAAGACGGACACAGGCAGCTCAGTGAGGAGGTGATCACACTAATCCAGATGAGAGAAGACGCTGAGTTAGACCAACCAGCACGGTAGTTGAGAAAATGGTGAGAAATGGTTAGATTTTGGAATATTTGGAAGACAAGCTTGGATATGTATTTAAGGTTGTGAGAAAGGGAAGTCAAGGGTAACTCCATTTCTTTTTGTCTTGAGCAAATGAACGAATGAAGTTGTCATTTACTGAGACAGGAAAAAATGGTAGAGGAGCGGGGATGAGTGGAAGATAGGAGTTTGGGACCATATGGGATGTCTGTTAGACAGCCAAGCAAGGGGTTAAGGAGGTGGACATGAGCACATAGTTCAGGAGAGAGGTATGAACTGGGGATAACAATCCTGGGAGTCTGAAGCATACAGAGATAACACACAGCAATGAAACAGAGTGACATCATCCAGAAAGTGGACAAAGAAGACCTGGACTGAGCCCCAGGCCATTCAGATGCTTAGAGGTGGGGAAGATGAGGAGGAACCAGAGAAGGGACATCCAGTCAAAGGAGAGAGGAGAATCAAAGGTAGTGATGTCCTCAAAGCCAAGTGCAGATAAAGGTTCATACCATGATCAAGTGGGATTAACCTCAAGAATGCAAGGTTGGCTTAACAGGCAAAAGTTAATCAATGAATATACATATTAATAAAGGACAAAAACCACATGATCATCTCAATACACACATTAAAAGCATTTGACAAAATCCAGCACTGTAGATCATAAATGGAATCCCCTGCAGATGTTAAAAGAATGGTGTTGAACTTTACGTAGTGATATGAAAGATCTCTAACATATATTGTTCAGCAAAAAATAAGTTACAAAACAGTATATACTGCATGACTTCACTTACGGTTTTTAAAATTATAGGGAAGAAATACAGGAAAAAATAAACATAAAAGAGTAAATAATGTCTTGCCTAACAGTGAGCTAAACATCAACTGAAAAGAGAGTAAATCTTCATCATAAGATCGGTTGAGCCACTTCTGTACCATACCATAATCACTATTTCACTACTATCAGTAGCAGCTTACTTACAACAGCGACGGGGTCATTGCTCCGTGTGGCTGCAAGACTGAAATGCTTCACGTGTGTGTTGGTTTCCAAAGCTTTTGCAAAATCTTTTAGAGTTGGAACTGGGATATTCTTGGAAGAAAATCATGTGAAATAATGACATTTTAGTTTTTAAGAAATTCGGTCCATTAATCAAATGTGTTTGTACTTACTTTTTTTTCATTAAATGTACTGAGAAATTATACAAGGGGGTGGGGAGAAAAAAATTATATAAACAAAACATTTATTCTACAAAGGAAGTCAAACAGCCTCCTTGATTTCTCTGTTATGGTACATTTGCACAAACTGCTGACCTAGAGGAGAGTATATATCATCACTTCTCTAGCATTTCGATTAAGGAAACTTTCATTATTCTACTTAACTATTTGGATTATAAGACGCCAACACCTGAGTATTCAAAATGGATCCACTTTTCTACAAAGGAAGAGATGTCACTTAGTTTAAGCTATAATAAGAGAGATTAACCCTACACTACCTGAAATGTGGAAAGACATAGTTCTAGAAGGCACTAATTTCTCCCTTTATTACCAACACTACAATTCCCTGTAGCCTGGTTATTTTTCAGATCATTACCTGTTGATTTAGTTATGTGAGGACTGAAGTTTTTAAAAATTAAAATTAGTGATCAACTAGGAATGTTAGCTTTTCTCAAGGCTTGCTTTCTTTAGCTCTCAGGAAGGCACACCTGCTAAAGGAGCACAGAGGTCTTATTCCCTAGGTTCTCATAATTCCCAGATGCTCTCTCAGCCCTTACTTCAGACAAATCAAGATTTAAAATGAGGAATTCTTAAAAACAGAATAAAATTAAATGAGGGATTCTTAATGCAGTTATTATACAATGAACAATACTCAAGAGATAATCTGAATTTACTCTTTGGTAATTATTCATCCCTATGCCCTCCTAACTCATTTCTTCTTTACTCCAAGGAAGCACTGCATTTTTTTTAAAAACTCCAGATCCCAGATCCAAAGATCCCAGATCCAAAGCCCACTGCGGTTTACTCCAGAGAAACGAAAACATATGTTCACATGTTCAGATGTGTTTAACAGCTTTATTACAATCATTCTAAACCAGAGGGAATCCATATGTCTATCAAGTAGGGAATGGATAAAAAAAAAATTGCAGCATATTCATAAAACAGAATACTCTTCAACAAACTACTGACATACACAACCACACAGATGAATCCCAGATGCATTATGCTAAGTGAAAGAAGCCAGACTCAAAGGCTCATACTATTTGATTCCACTCATAGGACATTCTGGGGAAGGCAAATGAAGGGGAAGAAAACAGAAACAAGTGGTCAGGGGCTACAGCTGAGGGCAGAGAATGACAATAAAAGGGACTGACATATTCCACATCTATGGTGGTGGCTGTACTACTTCTGCATTGGTCAAAACTCATCGAACTGTACACAGAATCGGCAGAATTTCAGTAGACAGGAGAATCTGGTTCAATACAAGGAATACCTCAAGAAACCGGATTTAAAAAAAACAAACCCCAAAAGACTAAGTGCTCTTAGAAGTAGGCAGTACTTTGGAAGCCAGAAAGATTTATGCTGACAGTGTGTAGGGTTTACATTTTTATATGATACCTTTAAAAAAGCAAGTCAGAAAAATACTGTAATTTCTAAAATATAAAGGAATCTAAGCATACTGTTAGGAGCAAAAACTTTACCTTGCAGAACTATAAAATCACACTTTATCAAAACTGCCCAACTCTCATCCTAAATCTAACTTACTTAAAGCAAGTCAAAACTTTATTGTTTGCTTAGCACACATACCTTTATATTATTCAAATTAACTTCAACAAGATGAACATCATTTTCTTTAATTCTCTTTAAACTCTCCTCAACATTGGTTGGATTTGGTGGCTCATCAAATACTGGAAGAATCTTTTCACCTTTTACCACATCTGTAGGAACAAAAAGAACAACAGTTTCACTGGCTGACATTATTACAGCGAATGCATTTATGAACTTAATGCAAACAACACACACGTACACGCACGTTCAATACAACTAACCAGAAAAATTTCCCCCACAATTTCTAAAAGATCCTTCATGTGTTAACACATATTTAAAGCACTCAAATAAAATGCCATCCTCTCGTATCATCTTCTCTGAGATTTAACTAGTAATTACTATAAAGGCAGTACGAATCACAGACTTAAAGAAACACAGCCTCAGTGAGAAGAGTAAGGTGATGAAGGACATGTGACCTCTTTCTCTTATGACAAGTACTGTGCATGGGATAAGGGGAAGGATGAGTAGGAATAGGGAAGGGGGAGACAGACAGATAATGGTACACAGAAGAGTTCCTAAGACAGAAATCCCCCAAATTACTGCCCTCCTTCACTCCTATCCCCCAATCCTTCACCGTGTAAACCATATCCATATCCATGGCGAAAATACTACTAAGCAAAGCTGAAAGAGGACCCAGGAGCCCTGAATCCTCTAATGAGGTCTAAGTACACTTTGATGTGTATGTGAAGGTCTATGAACACATGTAACAAGCAAACATTTTAATGGATAAGTTTTCTGGGGAGAAAACCTATAGCATCAGATTCATGGCAAATGACCCAAAAAAGTTAACAGCAACTGACAGAAAGATTGACAGAAAGGGCCACTGTCTGGCTTAGTTCTTCCCTTCTGCCCTCCTCTAGCTTTTAGGAGCAAAACTCATCTTAAGATGAAGTATACTGGGGGCACCTGCGTGGCTCAGTCAGTTAAGCATCTGCCTTTAGCTCAGGTCATGATCCCAGGATCCTGGAATCAAGCCCCGCATCAGGCTCCCTGCTCATCGGGGAGTCTGCTCCCTCTCCCTCTACCCCCCTCCCTCTGCTCTTGGTTCTCTCTCAAATAATTAAAATCTTAAAAAAAAAAAAAAAAAGCTAAAGTATATTGAACAAATTCCCTCTAAGAGTACCTTGTTCTTTTCAAATTTATTACACATATACACACATAGCATCATGAGATCAATTTAGATGATGGCCTGAAAATTATTTTCCTGAGGAAAGTGGAAAGATCTGGATATATCTGGCCTGGACGTATATATTAAGAGGAAGTATGCTCATTTTTTTTCCAGATTTATCCTGTGGAAGAATAGAGAAATTTCAAGCTGTTCTGAAAGGCTAGGTTAGAACAGGTATAGACTGCCTGGAGGCAGAATTTGGTTCTATACAAGGATAAGCTTCCTCCCAGAGTTCTGCTAAAAGGACAGAGTGGGCTCCCTCTCACCTAAATTCAGCAAGGTAATCTTCTTCAAGATTGTAGATCAAGGGGGCTAGAGAAGAGCTTCCTCACTACAAAAAAAAAAAAAAACCTGAATGAGTTCTATCTCAATTCTAAATTTTACAAAACCAAAAGATTTCTTCCTCATTCCACAGAGTATGTGCATTTAAAGAGCACTGCTTCTGAGTGAAGTAATGGATCCAGTAAATGGGATGCTGAAACCATTAAGAAAGGCTTATGGGAGACTTTAAGTGATGGATCAGGCTACTAACATTTCAACACACTGATGAATTTTGACATATTCCCCAAAGAGGAATGATTAGACTTGATAGGCTTCCTAATGAGATTTAATCACTAAGAAGCACTCTTGCCCCCCCAAACCCTCCAAAACAAAAAACTGTACCCGAATCTGAGTAAGCCACTAGAAAATAATAGTTTAGAGAAACATAGGAGACAGAGAAGTAAGTAAAAGGTTACCACAAGGGGAAGATGGTAGCAGAGTAGGAAGACCCTGGGTTCATTTTGTCCCACAAATAACAACTAGGTAACTATCAAATCATCCTAAATACTCCAGAAATTGACCTGAAGACTGGCAGAACAGATTCCACAGCTAAAGGCAGAGAACAGGCCACATCAAAGAAGGTAGGAAGTGTAGAGAGTTGGTCTGGGAGAGAAACAGATCATGGCCGCTGCAGTGGGGAGGAAGCCACAGTTGGCAAAGGGTGAAAGACAGACTAGCACAAAGGGGAGAACATGGGAAAAATGAATCCCCATAGCAACTGGCCTGGAAGTTAGAAGGGCCCTGAATTTCAGGAGTTCTTGCAACCAGGAAGCCTTAAAGCTTAGAGTTTTAAAGGTCAGCGTACTTGGCTGTGGGAGACCTCAGAGGACTTTGGGGCTGCTCTTGGAGGGAAAGCAAGCAAAGACTCTGTGGACATACAGCATGGAAACAGCAATCTGAAGAGTGCCTAGAGCACACAGTGGGGAGGCTAGCTGCTCGTCTCGGAGTGTGACCCAGAGAAGCAGCATTCACAGGGAAACCTCTCAAGGAACAAAGGAATTCGCAGGTGCAATTTCCCTCCTCTGCCTCTCAGCATAAGCACAGGACCAACACTCACTACCTAATTTGCTTACACCAAGTCCTGCCCCTTCACTCTCTGGCAGATCGGCCCTTCCCTGCCACACTTGCCTCAATCACAGCACAGCAGAACCCCGCGCCCAGAAGACCAGCCCAAATTCCTGCCAATACCAAGTCTCCTGACACATGTGTTTTGCAAGACCTCAGTTCCAGTGGTAGTGGTAAGAGGTTTCATTTCACAAGCATATCAGAGCACATCTAGTTCAAATGTGCCACATTCAGGCAGGGACCAAATGCCCACAACAGGCAAAGAGAACCTCTGTAGACAACTGGCCTAGGATAAAGTGGCCAGACAAGGATAAAGTGGCCAGCACAGAACACTACGTCACACACGACACACACTGGAGACAATCCTAGAAGCACCAAGCCCTGGGGAACAGTGGACACACTACACGGTAGGGCACTACAAGTCTTTTTTTTTTTTTTTAAATGATTTTATTTATTTACTTGACAGACAGCAAGAGAAGGAATACAAGCATGGGGAGTGAGAGAGGGAGAAGCAGGTTCCCCGCCGAGCAGAGAGTCCTACACCGGGCTTGATCCCAGGACCTCAGGATCACGACCAGAGCCAAAGGCAGATGCCCAATAACTGAGCCACCTAGGCACTCCACTACAAGACCTCTTCATAAAGCCATTACCCTGAAGAACAGGAGATGCAGCTGACTTTCCTAACACAGAGAAATAGGCACAGAGACGTAGACCAAATGAGAAGACAAAGGAATCTGTCCCAAATGAAAGAACAAAACAAGGCCGCAGCAGGAGATCCAAGCAAAACAGATAAAAGCAACATGCCTGATGGAAAATTTAAAGCAATGATCATAAGGATACTCACTGGACTTGAGAAATGAGTGGAGAACACCAGTGAGACCATTGTCATAGAGGTGAGGAATAACATATCACAGATAAGGAGCTCAAAAAACAAAATGAGAAACATGCATGATGGAATGAACAGCAAGATGGAAGAAGCAGAGGAACAAATTAATGACCTAAATGACAGAGCAATGGAAAGTAATCAAGTTGAACAAAAGAGAGAAAAAAGAATTATGCAAAACAAAAATAGGGAACTCAGTGACTCCATCAAACATAATCTTCATATTATAGGGTTCCCAGAAGAAGAAGAGAGAAAAGGGGGCAGAGAATTTATCTGAAGAAATAACAGCTGAAAAATTCCCTCATCAGGGAAGGAAACAGAAACCCAGATCCAGGAGGCAAAGAGAGCCCCAACAAAATCACCAAAGAAGGTCCACCCTAAGACATATTGTAATTAAAATATATAGGGATATATACTAAGTAGTAATACAGTAATATAGTGATAAAGAAAATATATTAAAAACAGCAAGACAAGGGACGCCTGGGTGGCTCAGTTGGTTAAGCAGCTGCCTTCGGCTCAGGTCATGATCCCAGCGTCCTGGGATCGAGTCCCACATCTGGCTCCTTGCTCTGCGGGGAGCCTGCTTCTCCCTCTGCCTCTGCCTGCCATTCTGTCTGCCTGTGCTCGCTCTCTCTCCCTCTCTCTCTCTGACAAATAAATAAGTAAAATCTTAAAAACAAAAAAACAAAAAAACAAAAAAAAAAAAACAGCAAGACAAAAGACAGTTACAATACAAAGGAAACCCCCTAAGGCTACTGGGATTTTTCAGCAGAAACTCTTCAAGCCAGAGGAGAGTGGCATAATATATTCAAAGTGCTGAATGGGGAAAACTTACAGCCAAGAATATTCTATCCCAGAAAGACTATCACCCAGAACAGGAGAGATAAAGAGTTTTTCTCAAACAAAAACTAAAGGGAGTTCATTACTATTAAACTTGCCCTGCAAGAACTATTAAAGGGGACTCTTTGAGTGGAAAGGAAAGACCAAAAATGAGAGTATGAAAGTAGGAAACACAAAAAGCAATTAAAAAAAATTATTTCTGTAAAAAAAAAATCAATCAAGGAACACACAAAATAAAAGGATGTAAAATATGACACTATATACCTAAAAGGTGGGGAGGAGAGGAGTAAAGAATGGGTTCAAACTTAAACAACCATCAACTTAATATAGACTATATGAAGATGTTATATACCTAATAATAACAACAAATCAAAAACCCCTAACGGATATACAAAAAATAAAGAGAAAAATCCATATATCACTAAAGAAAACCAGCAAACTATAAGAGACAAGAAATGATCAGAGGAAAAAATCTTCAGAAAGAATCACAAAACAAGTAATAAAATGGCAATAAATGCATATCTATCCAATAATTACTTTGAATGCAAATGGACTGAATGCTCCAATCAAAAGACAGTTAAAGAATGGGTAAAAAAACAAGATCCATCTATATGCTGCTTGGAAGAGACCCATTTTAGACTTAAAGACATCCGTAGACTGAAAGTGAGAGGATGGAGAAACACTTATGCAAATAGATGTCAAAAAGAATCTGGGAGTAGCAGTACTTATACTGGACAAAATAGACTTTTTAAACAAAGACTTAACAAGAAGACGAAGAAGGATATTAAATAATCATAAAGAGAACAGCCCAACAAGAAGATATGACAAGAGTAAATATTTCTGCACCCATATACATAAAAGTCATTAACAAACATGAACTAATCAATAACAATACAATTATAGCAGGGAACTTTTACACCCTACTTACATCAATGGACAGATCATCTAAACAGAAAATCCACAAGGAAACAATGAATTTGAATGACACACTAGACCAGATAGACTTAACAGATATATTTGGAACATTCCATCCTAAAACAGCAGAATACACATTCTTTTCAAGTGCACACAGAACATTCTCCAGAACAGATCCCATATTAGGCCACAAAACAAACCTCAACAAATCCAAAAAGATCGAAGTCATACCATGCATCTTTTCTGACCACAATGCTATGAAACTAGGAGTCAACCACAAGAAAAAAATCTGGCAAGACCACAAATACATGGAAGTTAAATAACATGAAAACATGCTCATCAGTACTCATTATCAGGGAAATGCAAATCAAAACTATAGGTCACAACTGGCAGAATGGCTAAAAGAAAAAACACAAGAAACAAGTGTTAACGAGGATGTGGAGAAAAAGGAACCCTCCTCTTGCACTGTTAGTGGGAATGCAAACTGGGGCAGCCACAGTGGAAAACAGTAAGGGGGTTCCTCAGAAAGTTAAAAATAGAACTACCACATGATCTAGCAATTGCACTACTGAGTATTTACCCAAAGAATATAAAAGCGCTAATTCAAAGGGATACACGCACCCCTGTGTTAATGCAGCATTATTTACAATAGCCAAGATATGGAAGCAACCTAAGTGTCTATCCACAGAAGAATGGATAAAGAAAATATGGTGTGTGTGTGGGTGTGTGGGTGTGTGTGTATGTATGGAATATTATGGAATATTACTCAGCCATAAAAAAGAACGAGATCTTTCCATTTGTAGCAAACATGGATGAACATGGATGACATTATGCTAAGTGAAATAAATCAGAGAAAGACAAATACCATATCATTTCACTTATATGTGGAATCTAAATAACAGAATAACAAACAAACATGGCCAGGCTCTTAAATATAGAAAACAAAGTCGTGGTTAGCAGAGGGCAAAGCAGTGTGGGGACAGGCGAAATAAAGGGAATTAAGAGGCATAAATATTCAGTTATAAAATAAATAAGGCACAGAGATGAAAAGTAGAGCATAGGGAATATAGTCAATATTATAATAACATGATAATATTGTATGGTTACAGATGATGACTACATTTATTGTGGTGAGAACTGAGTAATGTACAGAATTGTTCCACCAGTATGCTGTACACCTGAAACTAATATAATATTATATGTCAACTACACTTAATAAAAAAGAAAATCATAAGGAAAATATATTTATAGTTCTATACTGTAATTATCAAAAAGAATCCATATATAAGTGGATCCACACATTTCAAACTTGTGTTAAGGGTCAAAAGTAATATTATTGGGGTGCCTGGGTGGCTCTCAGTGGGTTAAAGCCTCTGCCTTCAGCTCAGGTCATGATCCCAGGATCCTGGGATCAAGCCCCGCATCGGGCTCTCTGCTCAGCAGGGAGCCTTCTTCCCCCTCTCTCTCTGCCTGCCTCTCTGCCTACTTGTGATCTCTGTCTGTCAATAAAAAAAAAAAAAAAAAAATAAAAAAAAAAAAAAGTATTATTATTGAAAAATTAACTTATTAGAAATAGCTGCAGTATGATCCCATTTTTATAAAAAACAAAAGGCTATGTGTAATATGTATGTATAGATATATGTATATAACATGCATATATATATGTATATACATATATATAAGTTTGTATGAACACAGTATAAGTCTAGAAGGACATACACCAAATTGTTAACAGGTTAGGGGGTGGGGGAGCAGAAGGCACGATGGCAATGAACAGAGACACTTTTACTTCTTACCTCATTTACTTGGATATTGTTCAAATGTGTTACAAAAGTATGTATTACTTTGGTCCTTTTAAAGCATCCTATAAATGAAATTTTTTTTAAAAAGCCTGGCCTTAGGCTATTTAGTATTAGTATCAAATTAAAAGGTTTAGGGGTTGAGTAGTTCTGTGATTTCTCCTGAATATGATTTATAATGTAGTTTTTTTGGTCAACATTGTTGTAGATTTCTTGAAAATCAGTAACACTCAAAATAAAAATGTCAACAAAAGCCAAGTTTGATTAGTTTTTATAGTATTTACTATTAGTATTATTTGGTGAGGTGAGAGTAGTTCCAATTACATTTGTTGACACATTAAGAATAAAATATTTAGGGGTGCCTGGGTGGCTCAGATACTTAAGCATCTATCTGCCTTTGGCTCGGCTCATGATCTCCAGGTCTGGGGATCCAGCCCCCACATCGGGCTCCCAGCTCAGTGGGGAGTCTGAGTCTTCTTCTTCCCCTCCCCCCTGCCTGTGCTCCATCTCAAATGAATAAATAAAATCTTTAAAAATAAAATAGAATATTTAATATTCTATTTTCAATGGTTTTCTACATCAGTACTATCTAATTGGAATCTCAGGTTTCAGGTACATACACAAAACATTCGGTATGTATATATTGAAGTTAATACATGGAGAAAACAAAATACATTTAACAAAGGATTGGAATTCACAATGGATTGTTAAGTACTTACTTGAAAAATGTTCTTGGTCGACACCATTACTGCTTCCCACTATATTACATAACTGGGCATTCGTTATCAAGTTGTGCATCCCAAGAATAGCTACAAGTATAGAAAAAGAGTTACTTTTATTTCCATCAGTTTCAAACATAAATAATTGATTATACAACCAAAAATTTCTGATTTTAACATTTTCTGAACATATTATTTTGCAGCCAAAAAAGGAGACAATGTGATTAAAAAATCACCTATAACCTCTTTCTCATTAATACCCCTATTACTTCACCCCTTATTTGGATTTAGATTTCCCCACATTTATGAATTCAGACACGCAAATGAAGCCAGCCTAACTAACCGTAAATGTAAATCTATACTTAGCTCCATCTGGTGGCTAAGAGAGAATACTGATATGATCTATTTTTGCTGCCCATTCTCACAAGGGTTCTAAGAACAATGCAATCCAAGGCAGATTTTCAACTTCACCATTTTTACATTTGTTAACCTCATGTTCATTTACATTCATATTTTAGCTAAGAGTAAAATACCAAAAGTATAGCTGAATTCTCATCTTTAAGATTAAAGTAGCGTCCCTCAAAAATGACAGGATAAATCTGGTTTTCGGTTTTAATGCCCCTTTGCACACATGTGGCAGAAGCTACAGTATGCCCCTGGCCCGTTCCCCTCTGACAAAAGCACCATTTACAACTCCAATAGTCCTCAGCATCCCAAGGAATTAGACACCTGCTCTGGCACTACGCACTGATTGTCCCCTTCCTGGGTCCTTCCCAAAGAACCATCACTCTTGGGGCGCCTGGGTGGCTCAGTGGGTTAAGCCGCTGCCTTTGGCTCAGGTCATGATCTCAGGGTCCTGGGATCGAGTCCCGCATCGGGCTCTCTGCTCAGCAGGGCGCCTGCTTCCCTCTCTCTCTCTCTCTCTGCCTGCCTCTCCGTCTACTTGTGATCTCTCTGTCAAATAAATAAATAAAATCTTTAAAAAAAAAAAAAAGAACCAT